CTCCCCTCCCTCCTCCCCTCCACCTCACCAAGTCTTGCGGTTTGACAACCAAGTCGTCACTGTCACCATTAGTTTCAGCCTGCCCCCCTTTTCAAGATGCATCCTTGTGTCGTTATTTTTTTGCTTTTAAATATCTTGTTTTTATCTGTTTTATTTTCCACCACCAACGCAGCCAGCAGCCACAGCACGGTTATACCGAAACACGCTTTTTCCCTTTTCGTTGTCATGATCTCTCCTCTGTCTTATTATTATCCCTCGGCCCGGTGGTGGCTCGCCTCGCCTCGCCTTTTCTCTCCCCCAACCCCCCATGCCTCCCCTAACCACCACCCCCCTAGCTGCTGTGCGTGCCGGTGCCCCAGGCGCGCTGAGGCGGTGCGGGGCGCGCGCTGGGCCCGCTGTTGGATGCAGTCTTGCACACCTGATAGGATCAGAGCCGGGGCGGCCGGCGGCAGCGCTCCCCCCCCCTCCTCCTATTTATAATACTGCCTGATATCACGCGGCCGCGTGTTGCGGCACAGCGTGGCGTGGCAGTGGCGAGGATGGCCCACACAGTCAAACGTTTTATATATACGGTATTGTGCCAAAACAAACCGTATTTTTTCCAATTTTGTAGAGAAATATTTTTTTATGAGACCCATTAATTTTTCCCTTGAATTCCTATTTTTTCCCAATTTTTCTGAAAATATTTCAAATTTTTCCCATTTTTTCTGATATAGTTTCGAAATGTTAAGCTTTGGAAATATCTTGTCATTCTTATTACAATATCTTTTTTCTTTTTCAGTGCTGTGCAGTGTTGTGGCTCCTCTTGACTCTCCCTCCTTCTCTTTTCCCCTCTGCGGCCCGCGGAGCGTAAAGCATTGGTGTGTGCCAATGAAATGTTTCATTAGTTTCCCCTCCCTCTCCGCTCTAAACACGTAAAACGACCGCGCAGGCTCCCCCATAAGGCTCCCCCATAAGTGGAACTAATGGGAACGCTCGGTGCGGCCTATGGCCCCGGAGCCTATGGCTGCGGCCGCGCCGGCTTCCCTATGGCTTTCCCATAAGGCCCATAAGGTCATAAGAGGCGGTAGCATCAGCGTCAATTCGCTGCAGCTTGTGTGTGTGTGTGTGTGTGTGGTGTGCACGTTGGGCATGTGTTATTGTTGTTATGCGGTTTGCGTTGTTTGTGAAGTGAAGGAAATATCTCTCGCATCTTGGAACCAACGGTGGATCGAGGGAAAAAAAAAACAGTTTCACGTCAAGTTTTGGTCGTGTGATCAATTTATGTTTTTGCTGTACGGTCGTCTTTTTTAAGGGGCAAGAACAGGAAGGGGGTTGTTGCCGAAGTCCCATAGCCCAGCTGTGTGACGCCTCGAAGCCTCCCTACCCCGACCTCCCTCTTGCCGTCCCGTCAGCCCCTTCCTAATATCGGTCTCCTTTGGGCTTTCCTCAATAACTTTCCGAAACCTTTACGATAAGAACAGTATGTACGTCGCGTATGTTGGAAAAAACAAAACAACAAAGATGTTTTATGCGTTACCGCCCCACTTTAAAGTGATATGCTTTTACAGCCCTGAACCCTGCTCCGCACACACACTGCTCAGCTTTGCTCAGCAATCCCCGGCAATGCTTTAGGGATTTAAAGCACGATATATTTAGAACAAAAATTTCCAGAAAGATTTGAAGACGGTTGAAACGTTTCCACAACAATTGGAATAAATGAAACTTCTCATGAAAAGGTGAACCAATTTTTTAAAACATTCTTCAAAAAAGTGCAAGAAATATTTAGTTTTGAAAATTAAAATCCCAAGCGATGCTTGGCAATGCCGCCCAGCAATGCTCGGCAATGCTCAACAGCACGACGCAGGGAGAGCAACAACTATATAATGTGTTGATTGATCGATCCCTGATAAAATTCATTATCGGGGAACTCGTCACTGCGTGTAATTAATATCGGCGGGGGCCCCTTGTGCTGCTGCGGGGCCTCGCCCGTCACAACGCGCGTAATTGATGTCCGTACGCAATGCGTATTCGCGTGTGACGGCCGAGCCAGTCGCGGGAGGAGGACGTGTGACGATACCGCTGCACCTTCGGAAGGTATGGTGTGGTGAAGACCGTGCAGCGTCGTCTATGCGGTGCGGTAGCACTGCAAGTCACGTCACAGTCACAGTGCGTGCACATGTGACGTGACGGCCGCGTGATATCACTGACGGAACTCGTTTGGCGTACGGTACCAGCGCCAGTACACTCTGTGCCTTTTTGTGACGGTCACAGAAGTCACGCGCGTGAGCAACGAACTGTGACAGCTTGCATTGCGATGTGCCCAGAAAACACGAAAATGTCACGAAAAGGTCATTTTCGGTCATTTGACGTCAAAATGACTGATTTATTTTGGCCTAAATTTTGACCTTTCTCCTCGTGACCAAATTAGTCCTTTTGATGTCCTCGTGAGCTTTTCGTGTTTATTGGGTGGCTGCACTTGCCATATGTGTGACGGTTATAGTAGTCTCGCACACCAGACGGTGACCCGTAAGGGTCGAGTGACTGTGAATGTGGCTTTCTGTGGAAGTCACAATTATTATTAAGCGTGTGGTGTTGGATATGCTTACGCACTGTTTTTCAACGAATGTGACGTCACATTCGTTTGAATGTTAATCGTGTCACGTTCGTTTGAATGTTGTGTCATATTCGTTTAAACGTGAATCGGCCAAGCCTGGGCGTCATTCGAGCATCACCTCACCTGAAGTCACGTTTAAATGAATGTGACACAATATTCAAACGAATGTGACATGTTTCACATTGAAACGAATGTGACGTCACATTCCTTGAATAACAGTGCGAGAAAAGAAATTACAATACACTGGTGCTGTTTACGCCCTTCTGTTGAGGAGAGACGGCCCCGCTGACGCCACACACACACACACACACACACACACACACACACACACACACACTCATCAGCCCCTCTGCCCCCACCCATTTCCCACTGCGCTCG